AATAACTGTAAAATGTATGGAAGCAATCTTCCATACATTTCTTTATAGATTATATCTACGCTAAGCGTGTCTTATGTACGGGGTAGGGTGAAGTAAGCGGTCATTCAGAGATAATAAACCTGTTTCGACGCGGTTTGCGATAGATCTCACGCTGTGCGTATTTGAGAAAGCGGATTGAGCAGAACTCATTCCTCATTCCGCTTTGGGATGCGCTTGGGTGTAGATAGTTTGAGATTTAAAATTTTCGGTTATAGTAGTTGTTTTAATTTATATTAAGTTTGTTTTGTTAGTTATATTATTACGTTTTGTATCAAAGTTTTTGTTATTGTTTTGTGACGTTTTGTATATTATCACTAAATCTCATAAAGACTTTACGTCGCCACGAAAGAAGCGGAAAGTGTCGCATATTTCGGAAACTGAAAAAATAATGATGATAAACATCTATAAATACGTAAATGAAACGTAGTCTAGTGACGTAATCCATCCAAAACGGATATGAAAAACAAGACTGCCAATATTTTAGGTCGTCAATGTGACGGACTCTTCTACGTCTTCATTATCATAAAATGATTCTGAAATAGATACAGATAAATAGTCTGTCAAGTGTCTCTGACAATCTATTATGAGAAGTTTTATGCATGCTTCAAGGTTGGCTGCTTAAGACGCTACCCTGACCAAAACCTGGCAAAAGTGCGTTTTTCAGACTCTATTATCTCATTAGTTATGAAAAATAAACTACTTCTAAAAGTACATTATTAATGTTCGATATCTTATCATCGCATTCCACGTTCTAATTTATTTTTATGTGCTATAAATACATTTAAAATCAACTTTTAAAAAATGACTAAAATTCTTGATTACATGCATCTGTTGCTAAACGCAACGCTCTAATCATTTGAGGATAACACTAATGGATAGATAATGAAAAAATCTATATTCTCCACGTTTTATTTAAATTTTTAAGTTCGTTTTTTCTCTTTTAATTGAAATAATTCCGAAAATTGTGTAACTTCTATGATAAAGGGGCGTGCGCAGAGTGCGGGCGGCATTACGCTGTATGCGTTTGTACGAGGTGGCCGCGTCGCTGGTCGCTGCGTCCGCATTTCGCCGCAAACATAATATTATTTGAGTACCTACCAACCGATGCGCTTACGTCACGGTATATTATCCGTATCTTAGAAATAAATATTACAGCCGTGCGGTAAGTAAACATGCGATAGGGCTGCTGCCTCCAGTATTTTTACATTTGCCCATTGATTTATGTGTTTTATAACTCAATGCATTTTCCTACTTTGTGTTTCCATTTAGTTTTATGATTGTACTTAAATATACTTTTTTATATAAACAAATATAATAGGTACTTTGTGAATTGAATAGGAAGTGTTCAATAAAAATGCGTGTCGTTTTATGATTGGTAGATTTAATTAAAAAACCATGTTTATGTTTGAATAACAAATCGGTCTTATAAATTTGCGGCCGAAAAATATTTGCGCCTCGGCTGAGACGTACGAAATGCTTTATTATTAAAATTTTAAATATAAAAAATCCGCATTATAATATAAAGCTTAATTAAAAATTGTTTTGGGAAACATGGACAAGTTGGAGTAAAGGAATATCTTTTACTTGGTTATTAATACTGCAGCTATTTTACAATTTATAGTGTTTTAAATGAAGTTTGGATTTATTATTTTTTTATTTCTATTCTATTTTCTGAAAGGGTCCTAGGAAAGGAATTATCCACCGCGCTGCCCCACTGCGTGTTGGCGAACTTTGCATGTCTTCGAAATATTATTTTTCTTATTTCTCAGACATGCAGGTTTCCTCACAATGTTTTCCTTCACCACTGAGCACGTGGTAAATCAACACTTAAAATTGCAATTACAATATTATTGGTGCCGGCGGGGATCGAACCCGGTTTGCTCGCACACTGTGAAAATTTTAGCAAGCGCTAACCATCTGAGCTACCACGGCTCCTCTCCTCTCGAGCTAGAGACTTTATTTTATTTATCGTCAGGCCTGTTGGTCTAGTGGTTAGTGACCCTGACTGCTATGCCGTAGGTCGTGGGTTCGATTCCCACCCAGGACAAATATTTGTGTGATGATTTATCTATAATATTTATGTATTTAGAAATATATAAGTATGTTTATCAGTTGTCTAGTACCCATAACACAAGCTCTGCTTAGCTTGGGACTAGATGGCGTTGTGTGATATTTGTGGAATATTATTATTATTATATTATTATTGTTGGGGTATCTGTATAGTTTTCTCATCTGGTTGGTTTTTATAAATATAAATTAAAATGAAAAGATAAATATACATAAATATCAATAAAATAAAATAAATACAAAAAATATACAAATAAATAAAGATCCAACCATATTAAATAAAAAATAGTCTCCTATCTTTCTCTCTATGTTTTGATCTCCTAAAACGAGTTTGAGTTGGTAAAATCAAGGCAAACTTAGGGTAGGGTTGACAATTATTATTTTGATAATAAAACTAGTGAAATTCCGCGGTCTTATATGCGCAAGCGTGAACGTAGTTAGAACATAATATAACCTTTATATTTTACATAAATATCCTAAAAAACTTATTATTTTAATATTTTACTAAGTACCTATAAAATTAACAAGTTTATTGCATTTTTATTTGAGCAATTTTTTATGCAATTTCTTTATCTACGTCTATTTTTAGGAACCTTTATTTAGTCTGAATCATACATAACACTATATTACTGATTTACTTACTTATACGTAGTTTTTTTTTTGCAGTTACAAATATCTTGTGAGGTTGAAAAAGGTAGTAATGAAAATAATAATTGACGTCAACAACCACTTTTCATATCATGGTCCATTAGGTTGCAGCTTCACCGAACCACAACTTATAATAATAATAATAACAATAATAATATAATATTATTTTGTATTTATTTTATTTTATTGATATTAATGTATCTTTATCTTTACATTTTAATTTATAATTTTTATATATTTAAATATTTATATAACCGAACCAGATGAGAAAATTATACGGCTCCAACGATTTTAGCGACGAACGCTTGGATTTATTTTTAGAAAATGTCCTTTTGTCCATGTTTTCAGGCAATAAAAAAGCTGCTACAATATAAGAAGGTAAATTTCGACTAATCATTAACGGTCGTTATAGCTCAGGTGGTATGTCGGTCGGGCGTGATATAGGAGTTCCGTGGTTCGCGTCTTGGCTTTGGTCCCGCTTTTTTTTCCTTTTTTTTTCAAGTTCCCTTCTTTTGTGAGAAAATTTATTATTTCAAACCCTTTTTTTTAGTAATTTTTAAAAATACGAAAATTTTAATTTCAAAAATTTAAAAAAAAATATCTATTTAGTTACTAATGCTATATTTATTATTTTAATAATTACCTACCCAGTAGGTAAATATTAAAATAATAAATGTAGCATTATAAACAGTAAATCTCCCTCAAACTCAATTTACTAATATTGCTCCTAAATAAGGAATAGCAGATAAAAGATTAGTAGGTAATAACTATATTTTTATTTTATCTCATCAATGCTCCAAAAAACCTCAAAATTATATTTGACCTCAAGGTAAAACATATCCTAAAATTCAGTAGCTAAATAAAATAATAATAACTACTATTCAAGTATATTTTCAATATGTAAGTAAATGAAAATAACAAAAATGAAGCACCATTAGCATGTAAAGTTCGAATCCATAATTAATATTTCGACAAATATTATAATTTACACTATAAAAAGCTAATTCAATATTAGCAGTATAGTATATAGTTAAAAATAATCAAAATAGTCATTTTTATTAATTAGATAATATATTAGAATACATAATTCTAATATAATGCAACTAATATACCGAATAAAGAAAATTAAAATACATTTATCATTGTACGCCGTGTCTATTTCCATAGAAGAGTTCATTGACATTGAAAAAATAATACTACGTTCGTAGCAGTAGGTGGCGTCTTTTGGCGATTTCTTACGCGATATATTGTAGCGAGCGTCGACAGACCAAACGCTCAAGGTCGTTCGCTGGAGGTAGCGCCTTAAGAATGCTTAGCATTAAAAATTCGTCTTTTTACCTGACCGCCAAGAAGTGGTTATGTTTTATACAAATACCTACCTACCTACTTATTAAAGTACTTACCTACTATTAACGTAATAATGAAAATTTTAATAACTCATGATTTATAAATAACTTAAATTAATATTAATTTGCTTTTTAATTCATTTAGGTGCAGAATAATCCTCTTTCTTTATTATATAATAATAGACTAATATATAGACGAAAATATAGAGTAAAGACTTTCACTTGGCACCCTTATCTTTCACTCTGATGATGTATGTAATGATAAAAGGATAAAAAAATGAACCTAAACAAAAAAAGATTGCCTACCCCGATGATATCGTCAAATGTCAATGTACTTTTTTCCGCCTGTCCTAGAAACGTACTATACTTGTTACTCATAAACAGCTAACTTCGCAGTCACTACTCACTGACGTCAGCGCCGCTATATATTCTACAATTTTCAAGGACAGGCGGGCTATGAGTAGTACGTAGTGATAGTTCTCCTGTTCTCTAACCTTATGGTCACAGATAGACAAACTGTCACTGTAGCCTAACAGTGGAAGGAAGGGCTAGAACCCAGAGCCGTAAAGCCAGTTAATAAAAAAAGACAGACTGTCACTGTCATTTATTTTATATTTACCGTAGCTTGCTACATATTTATTTATCTATGATTTACCGAGCCTCTTTTTTCTATGCTCAAAGCTTTCATGGTTTCATGCTTCTTTTCATAAACTAACTTGCTACCATATTATATATTTATTATTCCACCTATCATATGTATTGTACATACAAGAAAGATATCATTAAAAATTTACTTTAAATCTCAGTTTAATAATGTATTTCAATTTTTGTATGGTTTATGAACATTAGAAAGATTTTCTTCAAACGTTCATTTTGCTGTAATTTAATATTGCATTTTAATTGATCATCATACCGCTAATACTGAGCCTTACTTTGGATTTCTGGAGGTAAATAAATTCGTCAATTTTTTAACTATTTAATTATATTATAACACGTTTAATAGTTTAGTTGTTTTCTAGTCCAGCTATGGCGGATCAGTCATCGGTTTTAGCACTGGTTATATTAGCAGTTGGAGTAACGGTACATTTTTCGTTGCATAAGGTAGAGGAGGGTCATGTAGGAGTTTATTATAGGGTAAGTAAAGTTATCACATTGAGCATCATTTTTAAAATTCCTGCTGGACACAGACTTTTATAAATAGTAGAGCCATGCTGCAGCCATATTATGGTTGTAGCATGAGCAGCTACTCATGCTGAGCTGTGTTTCCCATGGTGATTGTAGAGAACTTATTTTATTACTTTATATGTCATAGAGCCACACTGCAGCTGTATTATGGTTGTAGCATGAAAGGGTCAGCTTGACCGGGGAAGAAACACACACTCACAGAATACCAGCGTAAAGCGTGAGTGTAGAGAACCGGAGGTCTGTTTTACTGGAATCGAGGCATTCCTCCTTAGTCCTAAGGAGTGACAACGCATCTGAATTTTGATTCTTAATCGAGGTTAAATGTAGATGACTGGGCCACAGCATCCGCTTACCATTAAACGGACTGTACTTCCTTGTCCTTTGTCACCCTAATTCTATAAAATAAAAAAACTGGAGACCTTTGTCATACTTATTCTATAAAAAGAAACATTGAAGAATATACTGTCTGTTCTATGAGCATGTTATTTGTTATTAATCTGTAATTCTAAAAAATTGCATTTCCATATTATAAATAAAAAATGGTAAAGAATATACATAATCAAAAGTATTTCAATGGGAAATCATAAATTTATAAATAATATTTGTATAGTGACTTAGCAATAACTCAGAAATCAATATGGAGTGCAGCTACATATATTACAAGTTAAAATTTTCTGGATTAGAGTAGAACATAAATAATTTGTGACACAACCACTCAGATTAGGATGATGAAATTGTTAGTTAAATTTACTGCAAGTGCAGTCAGTTGGGTGCGTAAAGTGGTGACCGGTGGCAACAATGTGATTGATTATGGCAGTGGCGCTAGTGGACATGTCACTGATGATACTCGACTTGCCATTGAGCACATTTTTGTAGTTTAAAATCATTATTATTATGAGTGTCATGAGGTTTTTGAATACTGCTTAATTTACTTATAATTGTTTTTAAATTTGTTAATATAAAATTACAAGTATTTTTTTATCTTAATGATTTGATTGTCCTTGTATCTATGGTCTGTATGCTTACTGGTTTAAGACACCTGTATGCCCGTTTTGAATTGGACTGAGTGGACAGTTTTATTACCTAAAGTATGTTTATTATGGGAAGCGAAAAAAGTTCACTGACTTACCTTCACTACGAAACTGATGGATGATTTCATAACCATGTGAAATCTTATATCTATCTCTTTCTTGCATAGAGGTGCTATTTTTACATGAGTGGATTTCAAAATAAAAGTTGTGGATGTCAAAATGGCAACCTTCCTTTGCAGTAAACATATGAACCACTTTTTGATTTAACATTTGCACAGTTGACAATACTTATCCAAATTTGTAAAAAAAAAAAAAGAAATAAATATTACATATTTATTGACTTTTACTTTTAAGGTTGCCCAAAGATATGTTATAACTTTTATGTGATACTTAGTATAGTCTTCATTGTTAGAATCACAGAGTTGAGTTAAAAAAAAAACTGTGCAATAAGGCCTGGGCATAAAAAATAAACATTCATAAGTAATTTTGCATGCTCTTAAATATACACATCAAACCTGGGGGTATAGCCACAGTTGAAAGATCTATCTTTAAACTGTGGCATAGCCAATTAGTAAATCAATAATAAAAGTGAATGTCATTCCCTTAAAATGTTTTCATTGAAATTACTATAATTCAGATAAAACTAGTGGCTAGTGGGTAGACAAGCCGCAATTTTTTTTTATTTATTTTGACAATAAGTAACATTATAAAGAACACAGGTAGCTGCGGGTCCTAAACTAAGCGCAGCTTGTATCTTAGGACCCTGGCATGCGATACAAAATGGTTTGTCACTGGACCTCATTTACATCGAGATAGTGTTAATATTGCGTGCTTGTCATCGGCCTTTAAAATTAATGCTTCTAATACAAAAACTAAGGAAGTATTGTTTTACTACATAAATAAATTTAAAATAAATAATAGCGCCTGCAAGAGATGATTCCGCAATAGTTGGAATAGGAATGATTACGTCTGGGTCTGGTTTTGTGTGGTGTGTGTGTGTGTGTGTGTGTGTGTGAGAGAGAGAGAGTGTGTGTGTGTGTGTGTGTGTATCTTATGTGCTATTTAATTAGCTCTTCAGTATCATTATATGTAAGAGTGTACAGCATGTTCTTTAATAGGGTTTTACATGAGGAAAGTAGCTGGTCTTTAAGGTCAATTATTTTTAATATTTTGTTGTAGATGAGAGGATACTTAAAATTAATGCAATACTTAAAATATTTTTCATACTTTTACAGGGTGGAGCATTACTCCCAGTGACCAGCCTACCTGGTTTTCATGTGATGGTACCTCTTTTGACCTCATATAAAGCTATTCAGGTAAGAAGATCCTTAAAGTATTATGTTCTCAACTTTGTAAATGTGTTTTGCTATAGATATTGTTATAATGTCATGCTGATATGTTGCTATAGTCAGTTTGGTCAGTGTAAAAAAAAAGGAAATAATGCATACATCCAACATGCTTAGAGATGTAAGCAACATTAAAGAAACCTGAAAGATTGATGTTTTTTTAAATATTTTGTGGATGTGAGTCTGCCAACTCCAATACTCTCATGGAAGCAGAGGACTAAGACTTACATATTTACATACAGTGAACACAAATATTATTTACAATTTACATCACTTTTACATAATTCTCACTAAATAAATATAATATATATTTGTTGTAGACCATGCTTCAGACTGATGAAGTAAAGAATGTACCATGTGGCACTAGTGGAGGTGTTATGATTTATTTTGAAAGAATTGAAGTTGTTAATAAACTAGAACCAAATATGGGTATGTATTTATTGTGTAATGCGAGCACAAGCTAGTTTTATCTGAATTATAGTAATTTCAATGAAAGCATTTTTTGATCACATTAATAAATTTGAGCCCATAGCTCAGGTTAGCTGTTGCCTTAAATTTCATAGTATGTAAGCAATCCGGGTTCGATCCCTGCCGGCACCAATGAAATTGTTAATTGCAATTTTTAATACTGACCATGAGTCATGAGTTTTGCACGTCTAAGGAGTTGAATATTTCTAGGACATGTGAAGTTTGGTAACATGCATCCTGCAGTTTGGTGTATTAATTTCTCCATAACTCTCTCAGAAAGAAGCCTGTGTCCAGCAGTGGGATGTATTTAAACTGTTAGACACTGGCTCTTCCAAGAATGTTCTAGTTTTGCATCACTTGGAAGCTTTATACAGCATACATCGCATGCTGGAGCTTAAGTACAGAGCCAATACCCTTGCACTGCTCACAATCTTAACAGTTTTCCTGTCCACGAAACAGACACAATAGTCAAACAATTGAAATGTTCATAATATATGATTTGTGGGACTTGGAAAGGGTTAAATTTTAATAAAATTTTGATAATTATATATATAATATGTTAAAGATATAAAAATTAAATAATTTGTATAAATTCCAGTATTAGATGTGGTTAGAAACTTTACTGCAGACTATGACAAGACACTTATATTCAACAAAGTGCATCATGAGTTAAATCGGTTCTGCAGTGCTCACTCTCTTCATGAAGTTTACATTGATCTCTTTGATCAAATAGATGAAAATTTGCGGACAGTGGGTATTACTTTATTTATTCTTTATTTTGAACACAATACCTTAATATTATACCTATTAATAACAGGAATAATAATGTTCCAATTATTTGTATGTAGTAAACATATTAATTTGTAAAAGTGACATATTTTGTAATTGATAGTATGGTTTTTTGTAGTTGCCTGATGTCATTGAAAGATGACTCATTAGTTTACAAACTTAAATATATCTTTTTTCTTTGTAAAACGTCATGAAAAACCAATAACAGTACATTTTTAAAAGTACCTGCTAGCAAATGCCCAACAAAATCTTAACCTTTAAACCTAATGTTTTTAGGCTTTACAAAAGGACCTCCATGAAATGGCACCAGGCTTGAGAGTGCAGGCAGTGCGGGTCACTAAACCAAAGATACCTGAAGCCATAAGGAAGAATTATGAACTTATGGAGTCAGAAAAATCTAAACTTCTTATTGCAGCTCAGCATCAGAAGGTGAACTGATTTTGATATAGATGAGTGTTTTAAATTTACTTGGTAATTTTGAATAATCTTTTTTTTTAATTATTTATCTTAATATTTACCTACTAAATTATAAATAAAGTAGTGAATTATTTTTTCACATTTTTGATATTCAAGTGAAATTGAAAGTGATAACAAATTATAGTAAAATATTGAAATTTATTTCTGTCTTGTCTTATAGACCCAAAAATCTTTGTTAACAGGTTGTAGAGAAAGAAGCTGAAACTGCTCGACGTAAGGCAGTCATTGAAGCAGAAAAAGAGGCTCAGGTTGCAAAAATTCAGTATGAGCAGAAAATTATGGAAAAAGAATCTTTACAGAAAATTGAATTAATAGAGGATAATATTCACAGAGCAAAGCAGCAGACCAAAGCTGAAGCGGACTTTTATCACTTGAAAAAACAAGCAGAGGCAAACAAGCTGCTTTTGACAAAAGAATATTTGGAATTGAAGAAGTATGAGGCTCTAGCACTAAATAATAAAATTTACTTTGGGAGCGATATTCCTAACATGTTCTTGCAAGCCAATGTTGGTGAGAATATTCCAAAGAGTGTTCAAGTTCAATGAGTAGTAATTATACTGTCAAAAAATTTACTAGTCATCAAGTAGTGTCTTCAAATGGTCTGAGATGCTTGGCACATCAATATTGTGTGAGTAGTATAGTGATGATTTTATGTGATATTAATTATTGTGGCAGACACTATAAAAAAACTGATACTATTTATTTGTGCGTTCTTAATTGTTTATTTAATTAGGATTGGTTAATACTCCATTAGATATAAGAAAAGGTTTTTATGTGTGTAAATAAAATTGATATACACAAATTTGTAATTTTATTGAAAAGATAACTTAATATTATAGTGGCAACATTTAAATCTTGTTGAATGCAGCAATATCAACAGACTGGACAAAGTCTTCGAATTCCTGGATTTTCTCAGTCAAAAGATCCACAGATACCTTGTCATCTTCAATAACACACATAATTTGCAGTTTGTTAATACCATACCCTACAGGAACAAGTTTGGCAGCACCCCACAAAAGACCATCCATTTCAATGGTGCGAACTTGTTTTTCCATTTCCTTCATATCTGTCTCATCATCCCATGGTTTTACCTCAAGGATAATAGAAGATTTTGCTATGAGGGCTGGTTTTTTCGACTTCTTGTCTGCATAAGCCTTTAAACGTTCTTCACGAATTATAGCTGCTTCAGCATCCTAAAATAGAATACATTGGTAAGTGAACTTAGCAATGTAAATTGGCTAAGTTATATAAAAGCAGAACCATTATTCTTTGGGATAAATTATATTTGAAAAATTATCTATAATCATTGAGTGATCATGTGACTTCTGATGACTAGATTGATTCAGATCATATTCATATAATATGAAATAATGGTTCATATCTAAGCTAAGATGTGATAGGTTGCACTGTAATAAAGTTATTAACAAAGTTACTCATATTCACAATGTATGTAAGTTAAGTGTAAAGAAAAAAAATCACAATGTGGACCTGATAAGTGGCATGGTGGTAGTTAACCGCTCAATCCCCTAGCGGTCTTATGAGACCATGGTCATATTCCATCAAATCCCTAGCGGTCTCATGAGACCGCACCTACCCACAGCACTATAACCCATAAAAACTTGTTTTTAAATACTACTTTTCTATGAAGAAGTTTGGCATTAAAGAATCAATATTAAATTTTCTTTATAGAAAAGTACTCTATAAATATAAGTTTAAATGGTTTAAAGTGCTGTGGGTGGGTGCAGTCTCATGCGACTGCTCGGGATTTGACGGACACATGCAACTGCATGGGAATTTTAAGAGGATTGGGGGGTTAATAACAAATTTTGTAAATGCAATGTTAAGATTCAGAGTGAACCTCATCACACCACCAATGAGAAAATGGCCTGTCAGGCTTGCACCAGATAAATATTTACATTAGATTACTAGGTATAGCGCTAAGAGAAAATCACAAAATTTGGATCAAATGTGAATGCTTACATTTACTCTGTAAAAATTACAGAATGAACATATTATTATCAAGTCTGTGAAATGAATGTTTGTGACACACGAGCAGATGTTGATCCTGAACTTTTGCTAAGGAAAACTAACGATGTTGGTAAACTAATGTGAGGGAAATAAGCTAGTTGTGTACAATAATCCATTATACTATGATATTATGGACTTTCACTTACACACCTCACTTCAACTGCCAATTATTATGACTCATTTTAATGCTCTAACTTTAAGGGATCCTACAGAATAACCCTTCACTTGATGAGCTGTCACATTATGACTGCATGTTGCAAGCGGATGTTTGATGACCTGTCATATTATGACCTATCATATTATGTCTGTTTTTTACGCTAGAATACTTTATTGTGGTCTATGCCAGTATGGCAGTTTTGTAGAAATTAAAATGAATATGGATAATGTTCTATAAAAACAGACTTCTTTACAAAATAAAAACTTTTAGTCATAGTTGCTATGTACCATTGTTGCAAGTGGCCGTTACAAAGTTTTATAAGCTGAAATTTAGTATTTTTTACAGTGAATCCACTCAAAGTTCGAAAAAATCATGCCAAACTAAGTACTTAGTCGATTTTTGTAAAAATATTAATATTCCTATGCATACTTTTAAAATACAAACATTTTCTCAAATGGGTAACCGAGAATTAATCCGCACACCGCCATATTTCTTCAGATTTTGTTGATTACTTTCAAATTTGTTCGTATTTTTTTTTTGTTTTATTAAGTTAATAATTTCATAAGCAAGTAATCTGTATTATGTAGAAGTACATAAATTCATTCATATTTGAAATATTTAGGCTAAACGAAATGCGTGTTCCGGCCGGTCATGATATGACCGGCTATCAAGCAGAGTTATATTAATATAGATACACCTTTTACTTGCATAATTTTGCTTTTGCTTTTTCTGTGTTAATATCATCATTACTTATTTTTAGAAAAATAATGCATACTTTTAAATTTTTTCAAATCATATCTTGCTTGATAACTGGTCATAATATGACAGGACACTATATTTTCAATATTTTTGAATCGCTTAACATTTTTATGTTCAAGGATTATTTGGAGTGATTTTTTTTTTGTAATAGAAAGCTTATTTTGTGTACTTTAAAAATATAAGTTCATTGTTCAATTCTTTAACTTAGTTTTTATGAAAATGGCATATTTTGAAGGTCATCTTTCCGGCCACCAAAACTAAGGGTTTAATTTTACCTTCTATTGAAAAATAAAAGAAGGTTTGAGCCCAATCTACAATCATTAATCAAGCTTTTAAATATATATTTTGCTAGATTTGAATAAACAGAGTGAACAAAATAATGTGCAAAGTTGAGCTACTTTAGATATGTTTTTTCATGTACAAAAAAATCTCTTTTTGGAAATCATAATTCTTCTCAACATTTTACTACGAAAGATGCAAATATTTTTATATGCACTTATTGCTAGATAGTAAGAGGTGAAATAAAGTACAGAAATAACCCTTTTTCTTTTTTCACTTACATATAGTTCGGTCATATTATAATCGTTTTGACTAAAGGTACTTTCAAATTATAGGAAATTTATCTAGGAATCCAATGATATGCAATGTGTGTGGAATATGTGTACAATGAGACCGTAAAACCTATGAGGCCCATCAAATTACATCATAGCGCTTGCCCGCTCATCAGGTGAGGGGTTAAGCTTTATTTAGGGGTAGTTAACATCGCACATTGAGAAGAAGAACGTCACTAAACAAAACTAAGGTAATTTTACATTAAAACGCCATCTTTTTATTCAAAAAACAATCTCTGTATTGCAAAGACTCGTTTTGTCGTAGTTCCTCTAATTGTGGCTAGATAGCGTAGTGACGTTATGGTTTTCTGGCGGGGCGGCACGCTTTAGGACAAGAAAGAGCGGCATTTTTTTAGTAGTGACAGAGACACGACGCGTATCACTACAGGGCCTACGAAGAATAACGTTGTTGTTTGGATAGTGTCGTTGTGTAGTAAAACTTTTTGGTAAGTTTTTAAGATTGCTTGAAGTAATAACGTCTTTATATGAATAGTGTCGATATTCTATCAATTTAGTACACCACAAAGTGTCGAAATACAAAGTTACATAGTGTCATTTTGAGTATAAATACATTATTGTTTTAATATTGATATGTTTTTTTAAAATCTTTATGACATTTTGCATTAAATGTCAGTATTCATATAATACCAAACTAGAAATTAAGTTTTTGATTGAAAGTAAAGGAGTCATATTTCGTTTAGTGCCTACAATTAAGTAGCAAATAGTATAAAATTAGTTGTTGTACTTTTTTGAAGATTGTCGTTTTAAATTGAAGTTTATTTTATTTAAGTTAGTTTTTTTGTAAAAAAAAAACAGTATCATATCGACATATTGCTGGAAGCAACAGTTATTCACGTCATCATTTGAAGATAATACAAAAAACTTTAAGACATAAAGCCACATTTTGTTTAACTACACAATATTGATATGGTTTTAATATTTTTTCTCCTCTATTTCAGTCAAAATGTCACTACCAAATTCCAGAAGTCTAGCATTAAAAGAAATTATTAAAGATCTCCAAAAAAATAGTTCGACAAATATCGAAGTAGAAAAAGAAAATTTATTACTAATATGCCCAACCGACCAGAAAAAACCGATAGAAAATCAAGTTGTACCTTCTACTTCAAAAAGAAACATACCTTTAAATGAACGTGCTTATAATGTACACCAAAGTTTACGTGATAAAGGATCGTCCTACTCTTCCGATCAAAAGTCTGATCAAGATTTTTCGCCTGCTTCCGATGATGATAGGGAGTATATACCCCCATCTATAGCTGACAGTTCGTCTTCAGACGATGATTTCAAGCGACAAAATAAACAAAAACAACATAAAACTTACCTCTCTCAGCCAATCAAATCTTTGGAAGAAACAAAGTGTCCAATTAAATCCGTCTCGTCAAGATCAACTTCTGTGTCGTCGTCTTCTAATACTTCGAAATCCAACTCTAACACCAGCTCCGATTCCAGCTCCGATTCCAGCTCAGATTCTAGTTCAGATTCTTCTAGCTCAGATTCCGAGTCTGATTCCTCAAAATGTAAAAAAAATAGTAATTTTGTTCCTTCACCAGCTAAATTAAAACGCTATAGTTCTCCGGTTGTAAATACTTACCCCCTCAACCAAAAACTTCATCAAACTCAATGCAATTAGCCGAAAAATCTGTATCATCAGATTCAGAAGATTACACATCTCATTTTAAGGAAGTTTCTTCCATAAAATCAAATATTAATACAAATAACATTTCTGGACACATCCCTCTTTCTGAAAATTTACTTAACATCAGTCCAAGTGCTTTAAATTTATCTACAGAAATTTCAACGGATGTCCGAAAATTCCATAACTCGAATGAACCGTTACCACTAAAAGTTCTTGCACAGAAAATTGTCACCTCATTAATTACACATCAACAATCTTATTTGTCTGCTTCTCGTTCAGCGGAGTGCCAAAATTCTAACTCTTCTCCTAAAAAGACACGCAAAAGAAAACGAGGAA